ATTATTTATGATTGTTTCATTTTTTATATTTCTCAATAATAATTAATTTATCATAAATTTTTAAAAATTATGCATTTCCAAAACTATGTAAAGTAGTATTCAAAATCTTTCCTAAGTAGTTTTCGCAAGAAACTTAAATTTTGTGAATTTTTCTACTGCCTCAAATTTATTATTTATTTTTTTTCATAAGTGTGATTATATTCTTCTTTAAGAAAACTCATTCTTTTCGAATCATCAATTTTCTTCTTTTATTTTTCTTTTTACAATAATTTCAAATTAAATTTGCATCATATTTATTTATATATGATATGTTAATTTCTTCCTTTTTTAGTTTCATAGAAAAAAAAAAACAAATCTTTGTCTTTGATATATTTTTAAAATTAAAATGCATTATCAACATTTATCTTATTTAATGTATATTATAATAAAAGTTTGTACAATTTCTTTTTGTTTTGTTACTATTAACATATGAAAAAAAAAAGAATGTCAAAACAAATTTTAGTCATAAATAATAATTAATCCAATTATATGAAACAAAAATTCCAAATTTATCATAAAATGAATTCAGAAAAAGTATATTAATTTACAGATCTTAAATTACGTCTATATAAATTATGCAGTGACAAATCATAAGGAGTTGACGCAAATCCGACATATTTATTATTTTTTTTATGATAAAAACTATCACTTTGCGGGTCAGTTTTATAATAAATTACTCTTCTAATACCAAATGGATCGATATAACCAAAAGAACCGATATTACTTCCAGTTGAATCTTGTTCTTCTTCGTGATATTGTCTTTTCAGATAATATTGAAATCCATTAGCAACATTATATGTTCCATCAAATTCAGGAAATTCTGTTGGATTATTTCGTGATGTACTGCTTGTATGAATTGTTGATAATTGGATATGCGGTTGATTAAGTGACATTTTCGGTTGATGAAGAATATTATAATTTTGAGATTGAGAGTAATTATTTAAATCGCGTAGTCCCGACAAACTTGTTGGATTCATATTGTAATAATAATCATTAGAAGTAAATGTAGAAGATTTAGCTTGAGGTTTAGCAGTTGTACTGGCATAATATTCAGAATTGATAGCATTATCAAAAACTGGAACAACATGCTCTATTTTTGATCTGAAAAGAAACAATTATTAATATTAGTATATTATTGACAAAAAAATAAATAATAAATAAGGTTTTTAATTATAGATTTCTTTATTTTATTATGAAACAAATTTAATTGAATTAAATAATATATTTTATTTACATCGAAAAATAATGTTTTATTATTTTTTGTAAAAAATATAAAATGAAAATAAAATAATAAGTTATTTGAAAAGATAATTAAGCTAAATCATAATTTGCAATATTTATATAAATTATATTTTATTTTTACTAGATTCAAATCTTTCAATTATATAAAATTTATAAAATATGTACTTAACTTAATTATTTCAATACAATTAATTATATTTGATTATATATTATATTATATTGATTATATTTATCATAACAAGTTATTTAATTATAATATAAATTCATAATTCATAAATATTTTAATACTATATATCTCAATATTTAATAATTGGATATATTTACATTTCATAAATTTTTGAAAATTATTTTTAAATTTAATTTTATCACAAATTTTTCAAATATTTATAATAATATTTAGACATAATAATACATATTAAATTTAATTATAACATACATTTAACTTTATCTATATCTTTGTTAATTATAAAAAAAATGAATTCAAATTTGTTTTTTTCGACTTGTTAAATTTTATAAATATAAATAACTTATTTAATTAATATAATAATATTATTAAAATAATATTAAAAATTAAATGGAATTGTATCTATTTTTCATCTTACAAAAATATTCAGAAACTTCAAAAATTACTGCTTAAATATTTAATTTATATTTTTATAAATTAATAATAATACCTGAAAGGATTTGGTGGACGTCTTGGTTTTACAAAAATTCCAGTTTGAGTAGGTACTCTTTTCACTTCTGTTAGCGTATCATAAATAGGTCTATTATTACCCACATATACCATTTTTGATCTAATTAAAATGTAAAAAATAGAATGTAATTGATAAATTTAACAAATAAAATTATGTAATAAAAGTATATAATTTAAATCTGTTATTTAATTTACAACATAATATATATATATATA